ACGTCAAATAAATATGTGTGTTTATTGTGTTCGTATTGTATTGCAAAACACATATAGGGACAGGATTGATGGTGAGCTTATTTTTTGGGTGGGTTCAGGTGTAACACATGAACAGTATAATTATAATGCAATTACATGCATATATGTTAAAAATAAATGCACACTGTAAAAACATGTACACTGTAAATAATTATACGATGAATTAGTCCTGACAGCATATGTTTTAGTTCTTTGTAGCTTATTAAACTAAGTTAATCATGTTCTAACTTAATTTTATAAGTTACACAAGCTGTTTTAAGTCAGTTTAACATATAAGTTCAGTGGACTCATAAGGTTAATTTCATTCAGCTTAAAAAATGAAGGCAACCAGGATTTTTGTACAGGATATAAATTTAAATGTAAGTACATAGTAATTAAGGCCAATTAAAAACAAAAACACAAACAAAAATGATGCTAATTTAAATCCAATCACACTGTGTATTAGATTGTACTAATTTAAATACAACGACACAATGCATGACATGATATTCATTTAAACCCATTGATAGAGTATGTCAAACGATATTAATTCAAATGTAATGATACAATGTGTCAAATAATACGGTAATAATCAAAACGCAGTGAAACAATGAATCAAAAATGAATTCACTATACAGTGAAACAATGTATCAAATGATTAATACAAATACAGTGAAACAATGTATCAAAGACGAACTCGAATACAATGACACAATGTATCAAATGTAGCCATTCAAATTAATACAATGTATCAAAAGATTAATCCCATTTTTTTATCTTTTGTGAGGCTGCAGGGCTGTAGAGAGGCAATCTTCAGAGCTGTGCGACCATGTGTGTGTGTGTGTGTGTGTGTGTGTGTGTGTGCAGCAGGCTGTAGTGTAAGTGCTGTCACATCCTCACTGTGTGTCCTGTGGCAGTATCTCTCTCTCTCTCTCTCTCTCTCTCTCTCTCTCTCTCTCTGTGTGAGTGTGTGTATGTGTGTGTGGATCGGGGGCCTCTGCAAAGGGAAGGCTCCTCTTTGAAACTTCAGTCTGCATTTGAATCAGCGGCCCCTGTGTTTGACAGTGTGTGGTAATTACCTGGGTCCCCTGCTTGATCATGTAAACTCTTCCAGAACCAAGGGAGATACAGTCAAATGGGGAGATGTGAGAAAAACAAAACAACAACAAAGATAGCAACGGCATTTATTTGAGCACGTCGCGAACAGCAGTGTGGATTTTACACCTTTAATTTGAATGGGGAAGGGAAAAGATGTTCTACTGTATGTGTCGGGAATTTGTTTAAATAGCGTAAAATCTGAGGTCCTGAGGGGGGAATCGCTCATAATGACGCCTGAACCTGCGGAAAGCAGAATATCGGCATACCTGCACTGCGGCTAATTACCAATAAGCCATTAACGATATGACTTTGTCCTCTAGCCCAGAAGCAAATGATTAGCGCTAATGAGTTGTCAGTGACGTCAGCGGGCGTGGCTCGGGATTCATTACGGTTGACACGCAGTCGCCAAAACTCGAGTGTACGCGCAACTTTAACCCTTCGCGCATTTATCGCATTTCTGGACGCATGGAGTGAAGTAATCGTGTCTAAAAAGATGATTTACGCTTCATAAGTAGGCCTGTTAGATTAACACAGACGTACATTGGCGAGGGAAATTCTGATAAGGTCACAATAATCCCCACAAAGAAGCGCCTATAGGATCTAAAGGAAGAAAACTCTTAATTACATGCTGACATATTCCGTTTCGTGCTGTGTATTGTCGTGAAATTAAACGCGTTTGGAGAATGTAAGGTGTGTTTTAAGCATTTAGCACACACACCAAAGCGACACACAAAACGGGAACAGAAATAACACTTCAGCCTATTATCACAGGATCACTTTCTTCTTCTAATAATCCTCTCACCGACATCCAGACACGCAGATCTATTTCAAGATACTTGTCAAGAGCGGTGTTACGCTGGAATGGTTTAATTTGTGATTTGTGTATTTAGTTTGTTGCTTTCTAACTTATTACTTAGAGTATTCGAGATATTGAGACTTACATTTTATTTTTATTAAATGAAGTATTCGGCCTGGACAGTTTTTATTTTTTAGATATTATCAGATATGACGGTTCATTCCGCTGTGGTGACCACTGATAAATCAGGGATTAAGCCGAAGGAAAATTAATGATTCTTATCAGATATTTATCGAATGTTTGCACTTATGCTGAGGGGAGCTTTTAATTGCAATACATTCTAAAATGATGGGTTGATTTAACCTATCATTAATGAGTCGTTTGGGATGGGTCAAAACGTCGGGTTTAAAAGGTGTAATTTAAATGCAATTTAGGTTTAGATTTGCACCAGCATCGGGTTCAAAACCCTGCATTTTTGTTTGTGCGCGTGTGCAATAATAAAGAGCAGATATAATGTGCATACACTACTTTTTGGACATGATCTTACATTTTTAAAATGTATTTTTTTTTTTCAAAAACTAAATAATAAATATAATTTCAATGATGAAAATACACATTTTTCAACATTTCATAGATGAGAAAAAACAACATGGGCGCGTCAAAAGTAATTTAATAAATTTAATTCTGAGTTTAAAGCATAGGGTGGGGCATTAAATAACGCATTAAGTAACGCATTAAAGTATCACGCATTATAAAAGAAGCATTTAAAAAATGTTGTCTGTGAACTCTCGGTTTATTTCGCCCTTCGTAATTGGCCACCGCTCAGCATAGTTCTTAAAATGCAATTTATTCAAAATCATTTATTTATTTATTTAGCATTTCTTCATTTTAAATTGAATAAGGCTGTGCGTTGGGCTGCAGTGAGGCGCAGATCTGCTCCGGCAGGTGTCGCTAAAGCGCCGCAGAGCGCAGAAACACGCCGGCGGAGTCTCGCAGAGCCGTGAGAATAACAGCAAGAAGGAAAATGCGCCTTTTCCTCGCACACCAGAATTTACAGTTACTCACGAAACTTCTACAAACACTGGCGCTCCTCAGCCTTCCTTCGGGGACTAGCATGACATGTTCCCTAAGGTCAGGGAGAGTTTAAACGCAGCTAAAGCGGTAAACAGAGGAATGATTATCTTAACATAAATATTCACTGTAGAACAAGAGCTGCGAGGGGGAAACATGCAGACACTCATCAGAACTGGAATAAAAGAGGAATATCTGCAAATAGCCTACATAGGCCTATTATTAATATTTAAATCCTAACTAATTCTAAGACTAAATATTTAAAGTTGATTTAAAACGCACGAATGAAAAGCGCGAATCAAGTGTTGGTGTTGTTCTGTTGTTGTTGTTTATTTATTTACTTATATATTTGTTAAACGCATTTATAAACTACCGCCTTTTGTGACCTGTTGTTCTGTAGAAATGTGTTTATAGTGCGTCTATATTTTAATAATCACTGCAAATAACTTTACATCGGAATTATCGGGTTAAATAATGAGACTTTCTGTCATGTTGAAAAATTAAACTGTTTGCAAAGATACAAAAAGATCTGCCTCCGAGATGTGTTTTGCATTAAGCATTTACAAGAACCAATTATTAAATGTTAAATGTTAAATATTAAATTCCTGTAATAGTTTTATTTAATTTATTTACGTTTAAAGGAAGTGGTTTTAAAAGAGGTTTTGTAATTGAAATGCATTCCCCGACGCAGCTGGGCAGAGACATGGAGAGCTTTAACCCTAAAATGACCTCAATTTGACACCAGCAGATGAAATTTTACCGTCTGTTAATGCCATCTTTTAGGTGGACCCCTGTTCAAAACACTTATTTACAGCTTTTAAATAGATTATTTTAAAATCAATATAGTATTTATTTTTAATGTAACTGAAATAAGAGGCGGGTTTGATATTTCCCATATCTATTTTGAAAGTAAAAGCGTGTTTTATAAACTGTATATATATATTTTTTGAGTGTGTGACACAATTAGCCTAGATGTTGTCTCGGAAAAGGTGTTTTTTTTTAAATAGCGGAGAATCAGTGTAATAAAAACCGAAATGTGCGCACTTTCGTAGGCATGAAAAAGTATTATTTCACTTGTTGGAAAGCATGCACAACATTTAATAGTTCTTGTAAATTATATTTACATTTATTATAGCTGTACTTATTTAGAATTGTACTTATTTTTAAAGTTGTTGAAATAATAATAATAATAATAATAATAATAACAATAATAATAATAAATAAATAAATGATCATAAAGCATTTTTTATATATAATTTCCAGAAGAGGTTGTGTGGTTGAGCAGAATGCGCCGCGCTCTACCTCAGCTTTCTGTGTATTTGCGTTGGACTTACCGCGTGCGTTTCTCCGGTCGTCCTCGCGCTAAAGCAGTGGTCAGACATGCACGCGTTCTGTGTCCACTGCAGTCGCTATTGCACAGTGAACCCGTGCACTTTCTCCCCGTGCATGCTCTTCCCTCCCCTCTGTCATAAACAGAGTTCAGTTGTTGCATTTACGAAAATCCTCTTTTTAATTGCCGGCTTGATTAAAAAGTCGAGGCGTCGGCTTTTGTGCTGACCTCTCTGCCGCCGAGCTCTGCTCCACTAACCCGCAAATTGTTAATTTGGACAACAAAACAAGCGCTAAATGTAGACATTTATGCATAAACGCGGATCGATAGGATGATGATGATGTCACGCGCGCGCGGCGATATGCACACGCAGGCTGGCTATATGATCATTGATGAGGAGCGGTGTTTTAAGGGTCTGTTTGTGGTGTTTAGGGGCCATCTGTAGCACAATCAATATCATCGCTCCTCCTCTGAAACTTCAGAGTTCCTAATGATTGATGATCTCTTTGATAATTGAGGAGCGCGCGCGGCTCGCGTTTCAATTTTTGTGACTAAAGACATTCCCGAGGAGTTGATGCAGCTTTGGAAAAGTTTAGTTGTCTAGATAAAAAAGAGGGGGGGGGGGGGGTGGCTCGTTGTGAGTGTGACACTTGATATCTAGCTGCAGTTGTAGTTTTAAAACGCGCAAAGTGCGCAAGACTTTGTTTTCTCCAGGCGCAATAACAGCGCAGTTTTAATAACGCGTTGGCCGCCTGCCCAGCGCACTGTCGCGTCTTTTTCTGAGCGCGTTTTCTGTGAGTGGGATTTTGTGCGTGGCTCCCCCCTCGCGCACTGGACGCTCGCCTCTCGCGCAGGCTTTGGCGTGGAGCTCGTGCAGGACTGGCTGTGCTCAGCGCCACTTCCGGCTTCCGTCATTTCATTCTCCCGCCGATGCGCGCAGCTCAACTCACTGTGTTCTATAAGCGAGCGAGCGGCCGACCTGCCAACACTCACTGACACTCACTCATCTCCGACCGCGCACGAGACCGCCGCATTTCTCTTTTCAAAAACTCTTCTCTTTTTCCCTCTTTTTTCCTCGTCTAAATCCTCCTCGCTACACTCCAGCAGTGGTAGTGGTAGTAATAAAACAAGAAAGCGGACCGGAGGCATAAAGGAGACAGGGACTTGTGGGATGAAAACGGGGCTCTAAAAAGATTCATCCTCTCCCGAACATCATCACCAACCATCATTCATTCATTACCTTGACAACCTCTGGCTTTGATTGACAGCTGGAGTGGCAAAAAGCCATGAGACACGACAGTTTAGTTACATGCAGGTTGTTGATGGGCCGGCTGTAACCTTCAGTTTGGTGCTTGACTTTTTTTTTCCCTTTCTTTTCTGGGGGGCAAAGAGGAAAAGAAGAATAATTGCAAAACTCTTCCCGATGCCCGCGCTCGTCCGTGTTGGAGAATAGGAGAGAATTCGGCTCGAAAAAGGGGGCATCTTTGCGGCGCATGAGTTTGTGAGCGGACTGGGAAATTAAATCTACGACACAGATCCAGAGGTTTATTGGAGCGCAGGCTGATGGCGCAAAGGGTAGGTTTAAAATCTCCAACACTCACCTCCACCAATGCACTATCTATCACAGGCCTCGACTGTCGCCGCACGCGCAAAACTACTTGAGCCTGACGCACTTTGCTGGGAATATCCTGAGCTCCGGGCTCCTGCTTTTGCTCGCTGCGCTTTTACAACTTCAACATGTTTTTGGTAATTACGGGCAAACTGCACGACTTTCCTCGCGTTTTCGCACACTTTCGCTTCTTTGTCTCCTTTTTTCTGTGCTCTTGCTGACTTTCTGCTTCTCTTGCAGTACGATGAGCTGGCTCACTACGGCGGCATGGACGGGGTCGGGATGTACGGGGATCCACACGCGCCTCGGCCGCTCCCGCAGGTCCACCATCTGAACCACGGACCGCCGCTCCACGCCAGCCAGCATTACGGCACACATGCCCCCCATCCCAATGTCATGCCCACCAGCATGGGCTCAGCTGTCAACGACGTGTTAAAGAGGGATAAAGATCAAATTTACGGGTGAGTTCCGCATTAAAATCGGATCCGCGGACTCCAGAGCCGCTTCGATTTCTGCTAACGTTTTCCCCGCAGCTTCGAGGAACTTTTCTCCTCGGGATTTTGGGAGCGTATCCACGCTTTGGACTTTGATTTATTTCAGAATCGCCTCAACAAACTTTTATTCGCTTTTAAGTTCAAATCTGCTCAGATCGCCAAACCCCGACGCGATTTCGAGACTTCCGAGTTCTGCAGAATTATTACTGATTGTTTCGCGTGTCTGTTTTTGCTCATTATTGCTCTGTGCATTGACATGGCTGAGATCTAAAAGGCTGGCGTGTTGTTGTTTCTGCAGCCATCCTCTGTTTCCTCTCCTGGCTCTGGTCTTCGAGAAGTGCGAGCTGGCCACATGCACTCCCCGCGAGCCCGGGGTGGCCGGCGGAGACGTCTGCTCCTCGGACTCCTTCAACGAGGACATCGCTGTCTTCGCCAAACAGGTCCATACGCGCTGCAACACTTCCACCCGAAGACTTTCTGTTTTGTTTACACTTGGAAGTTCTAAGTAGCCGCATTAAATCGGCGCTTTTTCTACACTTAAACCAGATTAGCAACGATTTGAATTTTAATGCATAATTAAAATCTTACTATTGAATTGCTGCACATCGATTGCTATTAACCTCCATTCCCGTGTGTGTGTGTGTGTGTTTTAGGTCCGCGCTGAAAAACCTTTATTTTCTTCGAATCCAGAATTGGATAATTTGGTAAGGACACAAATCAGACTGTCTTTAAGAAGAGACTATCTTTAGTATTTTTTTATTTATTTTCTTTCGTCGGATTTGGAGATAGAAAAGGCAAATACGAGGATTTTTGATGTGTGACAGGATTGTTTGAAGTGGGACCCTCACAGCGGTCTGCAGTGGGGAATATTAGTGTGAAATAAGTCACTCATTATGGGGTTGATATCACCGTTAACACTTTCACGCAGGCCAGTTAATATAGCGGCGATTTATTTAACATCCAAAAATAATTGCTTGTTATTTCTCAGCCACATTACTGATTATTTTTAACATTACTTATTTTTATGTCATTTTATTTTTGGGGTTGGATATGTTTGTGCACTGTAATATTACGCAACGAATATTAAAAATTAAAATGCATGTTCAAAATAAAAAATAAATAATTAAATGTAAATTTCAAATGCAAAGAATTGACACGGCTAACAGCTTGGGTTTCTCTCCACAGATGATACAAGCCATACAAGTATTACGGTTTCATCTTTTGGAGTTAGAAAAGGTAATCATTTAATTATTTGGATTTATGTGTTTTCAGAAATATTTCCGGCGAATTTACTGTGATTTTGTGGTGTGTTTTATTTTAATTGAACGATTCAGATGTTATATTTTGATGTTCAAATTCAATTATAATCTTGGACAAATTTAGATTGCTATTAAAACCATGTTAAAATTATCTTTGATTTTAAAATAATATATAATATATAATAATTCGTATTTATTAAATTAATTTCTTATTATACTTTCTGCTAAATTATGTCCAGCGCGTTCATATGTCTTATTGTCAAGCTGTAGTGTTTGTTTTTGTCGATTAACTTGTTGCTGGAGTCTCAGGAGAATAATAAGCATTGCTACAATTTCTCTATTGTTTCCCCGTCTTTACTCACGATGTCCTTTAATTGTGCTTATTTCTGGAGCGGCTGCTGACAGATGTTTTATTTTTGTTCTCTTCTCAAGGTGCACGAACTCTGCGACAATTTCTGCCATCGGTACATTAGTTGTTTGAAAGGAAAAATGCCCATAGATTTAGTGATTGATGAACGGGATGGCAGCTCAAAATCAGACCACGAGGAACTCTCGGGATCTTCGACCAACTTAGCCGATCATGTAAGTAACTGGAAGCTTTAATTGTTTAATTGTTGTGCACGGAATTGTGTATATACGCACAAATGGCATTCGAGTGGCTGATATGAATGAGATAAATGCTAAAAGTAGTTTCGGGCTTTTTTTCCTGAACTTGTGGCTTGTGTATTTAAATGCGGTTTTGTGTTTTGTATTAATTTGTTGCTTTGCAAATAATAACATTGTTGTTTATAGTTGTGATAAAACAAATTAACGTGCTATTTTATAGCTGTATTATTAATATGTTATGCGGGCAGTACTGGGTAGTCTTTTTATAATGTGTCTCTCTTTAGTTTGCCAGGACGACGATGATGATGTTGTTATTGTGCATTAATTGTCTCTTATTGATTTTTTTTTGTTGTGGTTTGAGTCCGTTTTATAGACTCCATTACTGTGAATTCTCTGAATCTTGTCATTAAATTCCCGGCTTTGTGTAAACGCGTTGATCTCGGTGTTGTGTAAGTTAAATGTTGGGGAAACAGAAAGTTTTCCGCGTCGTGTAGTTGATATGGAGCGTCCTGTGGGATATTCAGAGAGCAGCAGATCAAGCCTGCTGAGAGAATTAAAGCAGATTTGAGCATCTGAGCATCTGTTAACTTCCATTAAAGTGCATTAAATTAATCGATTTAAAATCGGGAAAGGCAATTGTTTAAATTGCAATACACTGTATACGCAGGCCACTTAACATCTCAGAGTGTAGCTATAATTATAGACGCGATTATTTCCATCCGTACGCCGTTTATTCTGAATGTTATCATTTTGATAATGTCAACGCTAAACATGCAAGTTCATTCCTGCATTTTGTGTGTCGAAATTTAATTTACGGTTATTTGAATTAATATTCACTTATTTTTTTACGGGGTGTGCATGAATAGCCTATAGTTACCTGCTTTAATTTAATTTAAAACAGGGATGTCTTGCGCGCGTTGCATTACATAAAGTTATTAAAGTGTAAATTAGGATGAATTGTTTAATTTGATGATTTAGTGGTGTCGCTCAGTTTTAATAGATATTTGACTGCAAGTGAAGGATTGTATTTATTTATTTGCTTTATGTAAATATGTGAGAATGCGTGTGTGTGTGTGTGCGCGCGTGTGTATGTGTGTGCATTGAAGGTCCAAACGTCACATTTGCATAGTGTGCATGAGTGGCTGTGTTTGTTAATGAGAATAAATGATCACAGGCCTGTTGCTGCTCCACATACTGAGAAACGCACGACTTCATAGGCGACACACTGCTCAGACAACCGCTGGCTTTCTATTGCGAATCTAAATAAATTAGCTCCGTTAATTTCCTTTGGTCCTGCATTTTATTATGTGGCGTTTCTACTCCTTTTTTATGGTTATCTTTGGTGTGTTTGAGGACATCAGCTTGATTGTTGGATATGCAAATTTATTTAGGTAGTACCTTTCTCATCCTTTCCTCTTTCCTTTTTTGCTTTGATATGCATTTTTAATAGATTTTGCCTGAGGCTACATCATTTGGTGAAAGTTGCTTTGCTCGGGATGAAGGACATGCTCTCTCTCTCTCTCTCTCTCTCTCTCTCTCTCTCTCTCTCTCTCTCTGTGAATATCCCCACTTTTATTTACTATTGAATACTACATTGTCTCTGGGTGTAGTTTATGCTGATATCAAGGCCTTTATCAGGATGTCATTACATTTTGATGTGCTTCCAATCCATGCAAAAGCCTAAATTCTGCATTTATTAAAATAAAGCCAAATCACCCAGCTCTATAAACACCTCTGGACTGTGTAGAGTTGGTGAATAGATCTGCAATCCGCTTCCTCTGTTGATTATCTATTGGCAGGCCTGCTGAAAGGCTCGGTTCTTTTTTTCTTAAAATATGGACCTTTTGCAGTTAATCACCTCATTTTCCGTGCAAATATGACTTTTAAATACACTTTAAGCACTCTTTTTTTGCTGGATTAGCTTGTCGGATGGTCATCAACCACACTTTTTTTATCTACCAAAAACATTTCCTTAAGATATAGAAGAAACAAATACCAGAACAATACTTACTTTTCAAATGCAAATTTATTACACCATATTATTAGAAAAAAATTGAGAGATTTAAAGTTTATAGATTAAATATTATAGATTAAAAACTAGCCATGTTGTCATTTACTAGGCAAACACAAACTGGCCAGCGCATTTAACTTTCCTCAGTCTTGCTAAAGCAGCATCTAAAAGCTTAAAACCTTCTTCAATGTTTATTTTAACAATTTATTATGGAATGGCAGTCACAATAGGACAAATGAGCTCTTGTATGGGATAAATTCTGGACTTTTGTCAGTGAGGGGTGGGTCTTTCGAACCATCCGAACCCCCCCGGCTACGGTCTGATAATCTGAAACATCCAGCTAACAATCCGCTGTGTAGACTCAGCTCTGCCTCGTCTCTCGTATTTGCAGATTTATTTTTTAAAATAAGGGCACAGATGACATGTTGAGTTTTTTTTGTGTGCCTCTGACATCGCCTCGGTGCCGTCTGTCATCATGTCGTTGTGACTTTATGAAATGTTGTGACATTCGCCTTTGGCATCCGCATTCTCCTATTTGTTTGCGGCTGTCATGTTGATTATAAATAAATGGATGTTTGTGTTAAGTTTTTAAAGCGCAAACACTTCGCGTCGTCGCGATGTTGTGATCTTCGTGGATTGTGCTCATTGCGGGTCCAGCGACACACTCGGTGACCACAAATCGAGTGTGTTTTCCAGCAGACGTCCAGCTTGTGTTCTGGTGACACGCTGTGAGTGTTGCTGTGTTATTTTACATGTGTGTGTGTGTGTGTGTGTGTGTGTCGCATTGGTCATGCAGAAAGTGCTGTGATTTAGGTCATCGGGCCTCCAGTAATAACGCAGCATGTGTGTGTGTGTGTGTGTGTGTGTGTGTGTGTGTGTGTGTGTGTGTGTGTGTGTGTGTGTGTGTATTTTGTGTGTGAGCATGTGTGTGCGCGCGCGTGTGCGCGCGCGTGTGTGCGCGGTGTTTAAGTGTGTGAGTGGGATGATGATGGGCTTTGTGTGTTGTCTAATTGTTGTGTGTAATTGCTGTTTGTTTGTGAATGTGGTGAATGTTAACACTGCAGCAGTGTGTGTTCATGCAGACTTTATTTTGCTGTGTTTGTGACCGGAAAGAGCTTCAACAGCACAAGACTCCCGTTTCTCAATCACTATCAAAGATTGATGCACGAGGATCTGTACTGAGTTTGATCTTTAGTAACAGGCAGAGTTTATAAATACTGGAGCTCATGTTTAAGTCAAATCATTCAAGCAATTCAACATCTTTATCAGAATCAAGGAGTTTGTTTTGGCTACAGAAGCTTCCAGTGTACATAAAGTGACCACACAGAATAAATACGGGAAAAAAGACGATAAACATCAGACAGAGATGCAGTTAGTCCAGAAATCTGGATGTTGAGTTGTGTGTACAGATTAGTTATAAATATACAGGTTATACGGTGCTGTGTACAAATGCGAAAGTATTGCACATGTTTATTGCACTGTTGGGGAATATTTAAGTGTTCATGAGGTAGATGGCCTGAGGAAAGAAACATCTCCTGTGTCTTGCTGTTTTTGTGCTTGGTGATCTGAAGCACCGACCAATTTACTGTTTAAATAAGCTTTAGTGAGAAGAGAAAGAAAGAAAAAAAGACAGAGAAAGAAAAGTTAAGAATGAATGAATGAAAACATTTGAAAAAAGAAAGAGAAAGAAAAAATGAAAGAAAAAAAGAAAGAATACAAAAACAAATAAAAAATGAAAGAAAAGAGAAGAGCTAGAAAGAATAAAAAAAGGAAAAATAAATGAGTAAAAAAGAAATAACGAGGAAAGAAAAATAAGAATTAAGAAATAAAGAAAAAAAGAAAAATAAATAATTAAAATAAAGAAAGAGAATGAATGAATGAATGAATGAATGAATGAATGAATGAATGAATGAATGAATGAAAGGAAACAGAAGAAAGAAAGAATGAAAGAAAGAAAAGAAAGAAGATAGAATAAAAATAGAGAAAGGAAGAAATGAAAAAGGAAGAATGGAGAAAGAAAATATTAAAAAGAAGGAAAAAAGAGAATGAATGGATGAATGAAAAAAATAAATAAAAAAAGAAAAAAGAGAAAGAATAAAAACAAAAAGAAATGAGAAAACATTAATGAGTGAAAAAATAAATAAATAATGAAGGAAGAAAAAGAGAACTAAGTAAGAAAGAATGAAAAAAGAAAGTAAAATAAATAATAACAAATAATGCAAAATGAATGACAGAAGGAATGAGTGAAATAAAAAAAGAAAGAATGCAAAAAAGGAATTAATGAAAGAAAAATGAGAAAAAGAAAGAAGGAAAAAAGAAAATGAATGAAAAAGTAATAATGAAGAAAGAATGAATTAATGAAAAATAAAGCAAAAGAGAAATGAGTTATGAAAAAATAAAAACTAATCATGTAAAAATGAAAGAATGAATGAATGAAAGGAAATAGAAAAAGGATGAATTAAAGAAAAAAGAAAGAATACAAAAAGAAAGAATGAAGGTGAAAGAATGAATAAAAAATAAACAATAAAAAGAAAAGAAAAAAGAATGAAAAAGCAAACAATGAAAAATTAAATAAATTTAATACAAAAAAGAAAGAGAAAAGATAAAGAGTACAAACAAGAAAGAGTCTAATTATAAAGCAAATATAGTTAACTGTAAGGGGCAGCTCACCCAAAAATAACTCATCTGTCATCATTCTCTCTCAGTTTCTTTCTTCTGTTGAACACTAAAATAGGTATTTCAAAGAATGCTGAAAACCTGAAACCATTGACTTCTATAGTATTTGTTTTCCATGTAAGTCAGTGGTTACAGGTTTTCAGCATTCTTCAAAATATCTTCTTTACTGTTAAACAAAAGAAAGAAATTCATAGAGGTTTGAGGGAGAGTGAATAGGGAGCACATGTTGATTTTTCAGTGAGCTGTCCCTTTAAATGGAGTAATAATGATGGAGGTAGTATTTAGTAAT